ATGACCTAATTGGGGCAGTTGGTCGAATTGGTACCTACCTAGCACCTTCCGGCTACAATGGCCACTATTATCCGCAAGGCTCAAAGGTTTCCGTCACCGTCGATATTAGACTGAATTGTACATGAACACACATCGAACCTTCCGAAAGTTGCCACGTATCTCATGAACATAGAAAATCGTGAGGTCATAGCGTACCTCGGCATTCAGCTCCGTACGGTGTACCGTAAACGTCGGCGTTCAGAGCATGAGGCCATCCGATCATTTGTGAGCTGGCAGCTTGAAGAAGTGCGGATCGGTGTGACCAACCCCGATCTGCTCGATTCGTGTGTGCTATTGAAACACTCGCCAGCCGGATGCGGGTCTTCACACCAGATTGGGAAGTGGGCAAAACCGAGTGACTCTTGACTTGCTTGAAGTTGGAGAAGTTGGGCATCGCTTCTCTCTCTGCACGGACCTGGTGAGGTGGAATGGACTCGAGCTCAAGGTGAAATGGGACGAGGGACCATGACGAGCGGCAAGCAATGCGACTCTGAGCATGCATGCAGGGCCAATGGAATGGATGTGATGAATCGAGACCTGGACCTCATGGATGGGCGTGGGGTTATTGCAGCAGGCAGCTTGTCAAATAGGGGGAATAACCTTGTCTTACAGAGATGGATTGTCCATGGAATGATGCATTGAAGCACGTGAACGATGCTAGTTGAGTGGGACGGTCTCTCAGGCCTCAGAAAGGCCATCAGGGACTAGGGTAAGAGGTGCCAATGGCCTAGAAAGGAAGCTGTTGCTTGCTTAGGAAACTGTTTCTGGTACCGCGCAGGTCACTCCCCGAACACCCAGCTCCTAGATTTCCTGCAGCAAGCCTGTACAAGCAGTATGCCTGTATAAGTAAGTGTAAACAGTGATAGCATCAGAAGCTGAAGCTTTATATCATAATGAGGTGGCCAGATATGAAGCGGGGTTGCAGGCCGGGGCCCCCCACAAAGTTGACGTTATTTTTGGCAGTCTGGCTGCTAGCAGGAGTCGCCGTGTCAGTGGGAACCTTCTTTGTCCTCTTTGAGCAACAGAAGCATGACAAGAGCATGACGTGCAATGAGCGGTGCGTGAACAGGGCAAAGGTGAGCACACGCTGCTTGTACCCCGACGCGTGTTTTGCAGGTTGCAGAATAATCAGGCCCAGTCTGCTACAGAGCGGTCCCCTAAGGCTTGCTCATGTGTGTCTGTAGTAGGGACGTGCACATGAGCGCTTTTCTTGGACATGGTGTGACCTCTCTTCGTCACTGTCAGCCACAGCTGTTCATAATCAGAAGCCGCCAGCAACTTCCTGACCCTGGACTTCCAAGAAGAGAAGCTCATGATGCTCTCTGGCTTTCAAGAACAGCACCGAAATGGAAAAGGTCTGCAAGCTTATGACGGCTGCGGGGGACACGTCTTGCTCACTCCACATTGTTAAGTGCTTGCTTGCCTTACACGAGTTTCACCGGCTTGCTCATAGGGAACCAACTCCAAAATATTGAAACCATCAATCTAATACTTGGTGCTACCCTGTACTTTTTTTGGGTTTGAGGGGCACAGGTTGTTCTGTCATCTTTGCAATCTTTTGAGACAAGGACGATTCTGAAGAGCTTTTTAAAGCAGCCCCTTCGAAGTTATCATATTGCGCAGAGTGCAGGCATAAGGCAAAGATTTGGTCGCTCCTGTCACTGAGGCTGGTACCAATACAGACACTCTTTTATTTGAGCAGGCCTATCAGAGTGAGCTTTATGCAAGCTTTGAAACCATCAACATGTACAGCGGTCTGGTCAAGGCCTATCCCAACGTTACTTCGGTAAGCCCTTGCAGCGCACCTCCTACCCACTGCCATTTTTCAGAACCGCCCTAAAAAATTTGGCCTCAGCTTGGCAAACTCTGATCGTGATAAGGCTTGACCAATCTGCCCTGTACCTTAGGAGCATATTCTGATACAATCAGAATGCTCCTTACGAGTCTGGTGTTCTCACAAGCAAACAAGGCTTTCGTCTAATCGAGTCTGTTCTTCATCTTCCGCTGTCTCAATCATTTCCCTATCAGCATGGTTATGATACTTTTGTCAGCAATGATCAAGAGCATCCTTTGATCTCAAGATGGTGAACCTGGATGCGGTGTAGGTTTACTTGCCAGCAATTGCTGCTGCAGCCTGATCAGAGGAGACATGTCAGAGAAGTTTCCACTTGCAGATGACGTTGTTTAAGGCCTTCCGCTTCCTCGCACTTGTCTTTCTTTCTGGCACGCATTTGGGGTCCGTTGCATCTTACTTTTTCCTCGAGCCTACTCTTTACTCCCTGCAGGAGGACTTCCAAAACTATGCCAATGAGACAAACATCCTGGTCCCGTCCTCCCAAGGCGTGACTTACATCAAGCACGTCCTGGGTCCAGATCGTGCTGCCGCAGAGGCGGTGCTGGGGGCACAATTTACGCAATATGGTACCCCCGACAGCAATGGAAGCCCAACCTTTGTCACCAGGGATTCAGCACCAGAGGTATGATCGATCGTTGTTGTATATTTTCCCTTGGATGTTCGCTTCAGACCGATTTAATGTGAGCCATGAGCCAATGCATTGACTGCACAGTGATGGTGGCCTACAAGCGCGCCCCAAACAAAAGCCCCTCCCACTCGATTACTCCTCATCCATCAAAGGTGGCTCTTGACTGCTTGGTTGTTCAGTCGCTCATTCTTTCATCGTTCCATTTTTCCAGCCAAAGTAACACAACAGTTTCTGGCCAGTGTCCGGTTGCTTGTAAATCATGTACATATTGTTGAAGGACTCTCCTATGGATCACATTTGGAATCAGCAAGGGTACCAACGTGTATCTGATTCAAACATTCGCTCTTAGAGCTGCCAAAGCACACCATCTCCCCATGCCACTCTGATCCGGCCGCACATGGTGAATCCTTCAGGAGACACACCTGAAAGGCCAAGATAAGCTTGACAAGGGTCTGAAAGCGCTTCATATCATCCATCTTATGAAAGGTTCTGCACTTCCGAATTCACGAATCCCACACTTCGTACGACACAGCCCGTTCACTGAAAATCTGGAATCTGCTTCTAACTTTGTAGATTGACCAGGTTTCCAACGCTTCTACATGATAGGAAAATGTCAAGCCTGGGACTTACCAGGTTCGGCAAGGTCACCTGGCTTCTCTCTGTGCATCAGTCTGTCACCGCCACCAATTGGCTGGGCGCAAACCGACCACATGGCTGATTGTGATTGGAAGGCACCTTGCTTCGAAGAAACCTAATTTCCCCTAATCCCAGACTATGTTGGTGTGTGCAGTACTTTGTGACTTGGAGGGCCTCGCTCCCCCAGTACGAGCGCCTCTTTGCCGGGTACGACACTTTGAGCAACCCCCGGCTCGCCGCAGTTGCAAAGCTGGCCCGCGACACAGGGCAGCTCACAGTCACGTACCCCTTTCCCAGCGTGCTCGGAACTACCGCACTCGGCATGTACTATCCCGTTTACACGAACCTGCCACCACAGCCAGTGAACGCATCATTGGAGCAGCTACGACAAGGGCTGGCAGGTGGGGTTCTGGTCCTTTAGCGCTTCTGTCCTGACTCTGTACTTGTTGTGCTTCTCATCGGGGGTGTTCTTGCATATTTTGGATCTCTGGAGAGATGGCATGCAGTAGCTATACCGGTTGCTACGCTGTTGATCAAAGGTGCGGAATCAAGTGGTTTCCTCATGCGGTTGTTTGCTTCTGTAACCCTCAGTTGTCTGTCAAGTTCCGCAAAACACATGCCCTTGCCGCCCTTCTGATCCTCTTACCGAAGCAAACATCTGTTGACGTGTGCTGTTGTAATCCAGGTTTCATCGTTTCGGTATTCAATGCCACGGCGCTCTTCAAGGATGCCGACAAGCGTTTCCAGACGCAGCTGGGGAGGCTTAGATTGTATGACGTCAGCGGACCCCCAAGTAAGGATAGGATTGCGCCGCCTTTTGTCATTCTGCCATCAGCGCGTTGTTCCTCTCTTTCCCACAACTCACTCAGAATGTGGAGCAAGGCGTTTCTGACGGTGTACTCTGTTCAAGCCCTACATCTTCCAGGAGATGATCTTCAAATTGGTCTTAGGGACTCGCCAGCCCGCTATGGTGCTCTTTCGCACTCAAAACGTTTTCATCCTGCCGGTTTCCATGTCCTTCATGCCTGTCGATTGCCTGAACGTTGCTGGAGTTTGCTCACAGCCACCCAGCCGCTGCTCTTTTTGAAAGCCAGATTCCTTGCATCACAACATCTCGGTCTTGGTTGCACAGATCTGGGTCCACAGCCCAGCTTGATGTACCAGACGCCGGAGAGCCCCCCCTCAAGGTATCGCTTCTCTGCAACTTCCACGTACAACTTAGGCGGGCGCTCTTACAGGTGAGATTATATGCGAACGAAAAGGTTGTGTACTTACTATGCTCAGCTTAGTTGAGAAATTCACAGTGAGACATCTCAAAAACTCTCAAGTTGTGGGTGTCCTGAGTTTCCCCTTAGATGTTGGCGCCATTGTTGATTGCAATAATATCACCATACCTACCATCTTTTGATGTGGAGCACAAGCTTTTCCTTTTGTCCATCATGGTTACTGTCCACCTGATCTCAAATCTTTCTCGGCCTCACGTTAAATCATCCCTCCCTGGGGTAAAGCCTGTTCAGACTGGCCAAACATAACGGATGACCACGTGGCTCTTCCTAACAGGTTGGACTGCAGTGCCGACGCCAGCATTCGTTCTATACTTGGCGCACCTCTCAGCTGGGCCGCTGTCTTGCTCGTGGTGTTCCTGGCGATTGGGCTGTCCGTGTATGTCGTTACGAAGTGGATACAGCAGAAGAAGGTGGGCCTTCCATCTCACGAGCTCTTCTACGGAGGGTTATCTAGCATGACTCGATATCGTTCCTTTTGATCTCGTTTCCCCAGTACATTCTTTTCCAAACCCGTGCATCTTCTGTCTTATGACAACTTTCGAAACAAGATCACTAGGGACTGACATCTTCAAACGCCTAGAATGCGCAGGACGCCTTTTATTTAGTCTAAGTGTTTAAGTGTCGTTGCCACTTTTCGTTTGCGCAGGCTGAGGTTTACAGGATCGAGAAGCTGAACAAGGAGTTTGAGGCGGCCCGTCACAAGGCTGAGAGCGCGGACAAGGTAAGGACGCTGCCAGGCTGCTGGAGGCGAGCTCCAATGGAGTCGCTCGCCTCCATGAGGTCTAACTGAGTTGCAAACCCGGCAGAGAAGCGCTCGAGGAGGTTGTACCAGGGGTTGGCAGGTTCATCGGGGACACGCCTGTATCTTCTAGATAAGCAGGCTTTCAGAGCAGAATTACTTAACCGCTTTGAATTGGACTTGTGAGGGGTCATCATAACAGGCGGGTCCTGTCGAGCAGCCCTATCAGCATACCTTGGGTCATTGGCGATTGTTCGAGGCATCCCAGTAGCCACCGACTGAGGTGAAAGCATTTTGGTAATGCCTTGGAACACAGGGTCAGGGATATTGACAGTTTCCTGACATTCTTACCAATCTGTTGCAGGCCAAGTCTGCCTTCCTCGCCACCATGTCCCACGAGCTGCGCACCCCACTGACCGTGAGTCACTGCGCTTTTTCTGTTGAGAACAATGAGGTCAAGCGTCTTAGGAAATGCAGAGAGTGTTTCCTGATTTAGCAAGCTTCTGTTGAGAAGCTCTCCGCACACCTTGACCAGCCCTTACGAACACTTTCGCCCCTGCCGAAACTCTGTGGGCTTGCCTGAAAAGCTCATTGCCGAAAGCCCGTCCGTGTGTTGCTTGAATGGAGTCTTTTGACGCATGCCTCATTGGCCTACCGTCCAGAATTTGGGCTCTTCTGCAAAATGGTGACATTTTTTGTTAGTGACGGCAGTGCTTACCTAGACTCAAGTTGCCGTATCGTGGGGGAACTGGCTTCTGATTCGGAACGATCTGTAAGTGCGTGAATTCTTGTAGAGCCTCTGTCAGAAGATTTGCTGTCTACGCTCGCAAAATAGAGTATAAATCAAAACAAGCTCTATGCGTATCTCTCCCGAATTTCTTCAGGGGACCCTGGGCATGCTTGATCTGCTGCGCCTGACGCCGATGACGGAAGTCCAGAGCCTGTACGTCTCGACCATGCAAAGTTCAGCGGAGTCCCTGCTGGGGTGCCTCAACGACATCCTGGACTTCTCCAAGGTGAGCCGGCAAACGTGGGTTCTGTCGTATCCTACAGGATTCTGTCATGCCAGTTTCCGTACTTTTCGGGCTGGTTTTGTCGCATCTAAAAAGGCCCCTGCCCACCCCCAACTGAGGCGGCGAGAACTCTGAACAGCGCACTGTTATCCTTGGCAACTCACACTCTTCGTCCATACTCGTTGCCTGACGCGGGTCAGGCATCGACCTAGACAGTGCGGCGATGGTTCGTAACTACTTGCGCTCTTGAGTTACCGGCTTTCTTCGAACTGTATCGACCTAGACAGTGCGGCGATGGTTCGTTACTGTTTGCGCTCTTGAAATACCGGCTGTCCTCGAACCGGTTTCTTCCATACCATGTGCTGAGCTACGCAAATTGAGACAAGGCAGCCGCGTCCGGAGCGTTGCAGCGATGGTCATCTAACGGCGGTGGCAATCTTCTCAATAAAGCTCCTCCCTCCTTTGAAAAAAAAAGCCGAAGCCCAAACTCAATCGCGGAGCCCGAAAGTAATTACTGATGATTATTCCGCAGATTGAGGCGGCGCAGCTGCGGTTGGAGGAAATCGACTTGGACACTGCAACTGAGGTCCATTGCACAGTGGCGTTCCAGAACATCCTCCGCTCCCATCTGAGCCTAAACTTGAAACTCGGAAGTGATCTTTCTGCTTTCTTCGATTGCGCAGATTGAGGCGGGGCAGCTGCGGCTGGAAGAGATCGACTTAGACGTTGCAGCGGTCGTGCACCGAGTGGTGGCGCTCTTCTCGGGGAAGCTATTGGAGAAGGGGCTTCGGATCGAGCTCGAGCTGCCCGAGCCGGCTGACTGCATGGCCAAGGGGGACCCCCTTCGGTAAGGCTCCAGGCTTGGGGGTCAGATCGAGAGCCCGGTATCAGATTTGCAGTTTCTGCAGTCCTAACTGCTGAGGATTTAGGTCCACGAATTTGTGAGCTGGGGTTTGTGGTACCGAATGTGCGAGGGGCTTTCATGCCAGTTCAGAGGCATCACAGGGCGCTCGTTTGAATCTACGCCTCAGTGCCGCAACAAGTCAACAAAGTACCTCAGCAAGCTTAAAAACCCAGGTTTACGAAGTCGGTATGCGTGTGCTTTAAAGTACGAAATAAAAAGCATTATCCCTCATTCTGGGGTGTGGGGATGGATTTGCTGAGGTGACAAAAGGATACAAGCGAGGCTATACTACTGAACATCCTTACAATGTGAAACCTCATTGTCAGGAAAGTTGGGTCCACTGCATTAAGTGGATTTCACGTCAGAAACAAGAAGTTTCTGGTGACTCATCTTTCAAAGCGCTTCGAAGTAGAAGCCACGCTTCGCCAGCCGTATTTCATGCCTTCTCGTTACAGGTATACGGGGATCGTCCTTGTAAGCGGTTGCACTGATGCATCCCTGACTGCTCTTCCTTCGTTTTCGGTTCTTGACTGTTAAACAATCGTGACGTCTCACCAAATCTCGGGCCGCCCTCTGTGCAGTTTGCAGCAAGTCCTGTCGAACCTCTTGTCGAACGCGATCAAGTTCACCGAGAGCGGAGGTATCACGGTCCGCTGGAGGCGCCTACCGCATCCCCCACTTGGGAACGGCATCCCCGAACGATATGTGAGCTCACACAAACAGCTACCTTTGCTGGTATTGTCAAACGCAAGTGGTAATGAAGGTTTTTCGATGATCGTTTCAGGGGTGGCCAATCCGACGTGAAACGCCACCCCCAGGTCCGACTCCTAATCTTCCAATTGTGTGATGTGACGTCTATGTCGTGATGAGACGGCTCAGATTGCCGGTTTGCGGGCAAGAGGCCTCATTTCACGTAGATTCAACAACTCGGTTGGCTCTGAACATGTCATCAATATAATCCACATCGATTGCGAAATGCCCACAGAGCCCTCTTTCAAAGTATTTTCGAGGTTCTGAAGTAGACGAGATTCCCATCTTTTAGAAGGGCGTACCTGTAGACTCCTCGACTGAGTCTCTGGACTGCTCGCATTCTGCTGGTGTTCTCTCTAGCTTACGACGTCTTCGTCCGGGCTTGAAACCCAGACTCATCATCTCCGAACGCGCTTTTAATCAAGAGGAGCGAAGGCCTTGGACTTGCCTCCTTTGATTCCAGACGTTTGACCACCTTCTTTCAGTTGAGCCCAAGCAGGGTCATGTATGTAGAGTATCCCGACTTGTTTCTGGGCACGTAAGAAAATAACACCAACCCCTTTTGAAGAGAAGTTGCTCGCATCCGGAATGCTCATGCGGCCAGCTGACGTCACCCTCTGTTTTTTGCAGAGCCCCGACAACAAGGGTGACGCAGTGATCGATTTGGAGGAGCCTCAAGACGCCGCTCGAACACGCTGCCTCGAGAATATGCTTCGGGTGAGCTACTTCTAGTGGGCGCGTCAACTCTCTGTATGTAGTTTTGCATGGCTCTGACTTCTTCCAGGGGGAGACAGTGGTTTATTACTCCGTGTTTTGCATTGAGGAACCTGTGACTGGCCTTTGACTTGATTATTCACGAGTGGCACGAGAGCAGTTGCCACCTACCGTCCCGAGAGGACGAGGCACCGTTGCCACAGAAGAATTAATCAAACATATGAACGTTCTGCAATTGTTGGCAGGATCGGTCTAATGTAGGGTAGCAAGTAGAGAAACACTCTCTGCCCAATTCTTCACTGACGGTCTCGAGTCGCTTTTCGTTCCTATCTCGCTCCTTTGTGATAGAAGGTATTGTCCTACTCAGCCATCAGACGGTCAAATCGTCGTCTCTTCATACAAAAGACCGTAGATAGGAACCCCTTTGTCCCAGCTCGTTTTGGATGCGGCTCCTCTGCGCCTGCCTCGTGGTCTGGAAAGCAAGAGTCAAACGGGCTAAGCTCTAACTTTCCTTACGTTCGTTCTTCCAGAGAAGAACCTCGCACGCACGCAGTGGCGCAAGCGTCGGCACCTCGGAGGGCGGCGCAGTCTACGGCCCGGGACTACAGCTCCCGCAGAGCGACGGCCCAGATGCTTCAAGTCTGCCAGGTGGCAGCGCCACGTGGCACGAGTTTAGCGTTACCGACACGGGCGTCGGGATTGCGCCCGAGTCCCAACGGAAGCTCTTCAAGTCGTTCGTGCAGGCGGATGATACTACGACCCGGATGTGAGCAGCGGCCGTTCCGCGGTCTCTGGGTTTATCTCCTTTTCGCATTCTAAGGTTTCTCGGTACTATTTTGGAGTCGGAGAACGCACACATATGCCTTCGGCAAAAGGTGGGGCTGTTTGGGTGTGCCGCTTCAGGTTCCGAAGTCGTTGGAAACATATACGTATGGGCTTCTGAGGGTCTTTGGTTTGCATCTGATAGGTTCATGAGTCACTGTTCGCCCCTCCTCTTTTACTCAAGTAGTTCGCGCCTTTGTGGTCTGACCTCCATCGCATAAGATTTGCAGTTGACTGCTTGTTCTTCCCCAGGCTTCACATACTGAAGGCTGGACGCCGAAGCTGGAGACTCGATTAAACGTTAAAGGATGGCTGAGGATTTGGTTTTCGTCCGTATGGAGGCGCTCCTTTGCCCGCATACCTCAGCTCACATCACATCCTCTGGACGGCAATCGACGCACTTGATGTCTTGCCACCGCTGGCGAACCATTATCCAGCCTTTTTCGAGTGGCTATCATTCTCGGTTGCTTCAAGGGTTTTGCAGTATACATGTGAAAACGGCCTCGCTGTTCAGCGCCGGAACGCTTTGCAAAGCTTTTGTGTAGCCTCTCATAAGTGCGCCCCGCTTACGTGCAGGTATGGCGGCACCGGGCTGGGCCTCGTCATTTGCAAGAAGCTAGTGGAGGCCATGGGCGGAACGATTGCTGTACAAAGCGAGCTGAATAAGGGGACCACCTTCACGTGCTCAGGTGAGAGACTTCTCTTTTCAGAGCAAACCGTAAGGCTCGGCGACTTCGAAGCTCGCAGTGCACCTCGGTCGGTCGCCCAACCCGCGCCCGCAAGAACGATCATAGGACTGGGTCGTTGAGAAGTTGCACACGCTGGAGTTGGGACCCACCCTCGTTTCTACAATTCTGCAAAGGTGCTGAGAAGTCAAGAATGTCATTGTCTGGGCGTCTGGTGTAAGCATTGCTCCTGGAGCGACTTCAAGATGAAGATTTGCAAGGTCCTTGCATCGTTGGAACCCTGTTATTGAAACTGTCCCGCTTGCGAAACGGGCGGTTTTAAAAGAACGTGTTCTCCTTTTCCTTCGTTAAGACGATCACCTTAACCGCGCGTTCTCCCGTGATCCCGCAGTGCGCCTTCAGCGGTGCACCGGCCCGCTCACTCGGCGGCCGTCCCGTACGCTCAGTCTCGCCCCCTCCCGGGGACCGCCCCCGGTGCGCATGGACGATCTCATCCGGCTCTCACCCAAGGGCCCGCTCGAGCCCCGAGCGGCTCCAGTTTCCACAGAGCCAGCGACTAGATCTCTGCAGCCTGCCGGAGAAATCGCCGATCAGGCAGGCCGGGAAGGAACGTCTGATCAACCAGGTCGGGGGGTGACAGGCCCGGTAGTCGACGAAGGGCGGGAAAGCCCGCAACTAGGCGAGGGGGGAAAAGATGTGCGAGTCGTTAAGACGGAAGCAGCTTCGCATCGACATGCTGGGGGAAAAGCGGGTGCGCCAGAACGAGCAGCACATGGGGGAGAACTGGAAGGCAAACGCGAAGACGAGGAAAAGGAAAGTGCGGGGGCTTTGCTCAGTGGTGGTAAGAGCCCTCGAAAGGGGACAGAAGCAAAGGAAGAAGTGATGGCGAAGTTCCTGACGGGAGTCGGGGCTGAGGGAGATGGGACAGCGCTTAACAGTGCGGAGCAGCAGACATCGCCTACGGGGGAAGAGCGGCGGTCTGCCGGAGACGCCTCCTCGGGATCGTCGTTGAGAAACGACAAAAGTCCAGGAGAATCGGGGTCTAGCTTGCAGGCAACAAGCAGTCACAAAAACAGCCCGGGGATCACGCCCCGAGTGTCGGTCGAGGGTCTTCGCGCCCATGTCGAGGAGCCGGGGGAAATCTCCGAGGTCTCGACGGCGCCCCCTAGTGTTGAGCTCAGCAGCAGGAGCGTCACCGAGAACGGTTCTCCTTCGGTCAGCGGAATCTCTAGTTACGGGAGCGGAATCTCCAGCTACGGAAGCGGCAACTTCGGTTCGATTCAGGAACAGGTAAGTCCGCAAAGAGTAGCCAAACGCTCTACATTCGACCCTTTCACTTAAGATGGGCCATCCAAAGCCAGTTTGGTAGAGTGGTCTGTGGAAATCTGGGCGAAGCCCAAAACGAAGCAGTTCGAGCAACCTTGTCATCAGGGCCGCTTTCGTTGTCCAACGTCAAGTAACTGCTCTGAAGCAGATTTGCGGGAGCGGCTGACCCCAAATTGCATGAAACAGCAGGGCAGAAGTGAGCAGCCTTGTGGTACGATGCAAAGTGTAGTCTCTCGTTGAGTGGCCCTCGCAGTCCACTTAATGCTTCGGAATAATTTTAGAGGAGCGGCTTACTTAATCGTGCGATTCACCGAAGTGTAGGGACTTTAGCAGCCTTCGTCGTTTGACCCAGCCTTGTCACCCTTCGTACAGGGACCCTCGCAGTTGCACACGCGCGCCCGCATTCTGGTGGCGGAGGATAACGTGGTCAACCAGTTGCTCATCAGGGTATGGACCCGATCTCAATCATGCTGACGTCACTTTCTGCATGGCCTCGGTTTGCAGATTTCCACTAACATCCTCTGTGCGGAAATTGATCTTCTGGGCTTTGCTTGCGTAAGACTTCTGCTTTGCTGCCCACGTTTTGCAAGGCCAACCGTTCGTCCGTTTGTCATTTGTCAATTCTTTGGCTGAAGCAATCCATGGATTTTGACAAGTTTGACTTAGCAATCAGCAATGCTGCCCAAAGCTTTGCTTCACCGTTGCCGATCTGGCTCGCAGCATCCGAAAAAGCCTTTTGAAAATTATTGCTGCTCTCTGTCAGTCGATTCTTGCTCTTTGCTCTCTCTACAATTGGGAGCACGTGGTTCGTCGATAGAACGTTGAAAAGCACCAGCTGAGTGAGTGATTGAATGCAAAAGCACGAAACGTTGCAGCGAGGTCACAGAACATTAGAGCCTAGGGAAGGTTCACAGCCTATAGCAGGAGACGATGTCGCTTTGAGGTCTTTCTGCGATTATCTGTCTCCGAGGTTTGACTTTCAAGGAGTGCGTATCTTGAATGTGAAACCAGGAGTCTTGACGAGGGTCTGCGGCGCAACCAACGTCGGATTGGTAAGCGTCGCAAGATCAAAGTAGAAATCGTCTGTCACAATCCTGTTCTTGCGGCGCAATCGTCCGACTTCAGAAGGACATCACCGTCCCGGATGCATCATCCCCAACTGTCCTCCGCTGTCCCCGCAGAAAATGCTGAAGCACCACGGGCATGACGTGGACGTTGTGGGCAACGGGCGGCTGGCCGTGGACGCTGTTCGGACCAAAGCGTATACGCTCTGCCTCATGGACCTGCAGATGCCAGGTATCGGACCTTACCTCAACCCTGATTGGTCACACTAAGCCGCCGGGTAACCTTGCGCAAGCGTGTGGTCGTGTGCTGCAACTTTAAACTAGCAAGCAGCGCAGAGAGACAAAGTTGGTGCTCGACGGGGTTAGCGAAGCCGGTGTTCGATGTGGCCCGAGAAGTGGTGCAAGAACTCCGGTGCTCTTCTGTAGCGGCTTCGACGCACCTCCGCTTATCCTACTGAAGCGGTCATCGATTGGGCCGCCTTTCTGACGAGGGTTCGACTGATGAATTGCTCTTCAGCACTAAGTGTGGCGAAGTAAGCTCCATGACGAGGGTTACCTAGAAGCAAGGTGGTGGCATCGTCCCTAAGGCTCTAGTTTTGCTAGCCTTTGCATGGTTTTTCCTTTCCCGTGGAACCCGGCCAGATGAAGTTCTGGACGGCACTTTCCCCCTTATCATTTGTTGCGCAGCCGTCAAAAGCAACCTCTAGCTGCTGTCGATCCCTCGTGTCACGACGGATAGTGAAGAAGCAGTCCCCGTTCAGCGAGTTTTAACCTCGGTTGTGGAGATTTGTTGAATCGCATCCTAAAAGACATCATTGTGCTTCTGGCTGCAGTGTTGGACGGCATACACGCAACGGAGGAGATCCGCCAGCTCGAAGGGCCAAGCTCTAGACTCCCTATTTACATCCTTTCGGCGGACGTTCTCGCGCAGAACAAGCTCCGGCACTTGAACATAGATGGCTACTTGACCAAACCCATCTCCTGGCCCACCGTTTTTGCTGTGATCAGCGAGCAGTTGCAAGCGCAGGGCGCTGTTTCTTGAGGGCGTAATGGGAAAAAAGTTTCTTGCGAAGAAGAGTTTCCTGGCGCTCTTAACCTGGATGTAGCATAATGTATTAGAGTAGTGCATCAAGTAGCGTGCTCTGGGTGTTTTGAAGCCAATCGCATTTCGTCAAGTACACTAGTAATCCGAGCAACTTTTTCAGTGTTGCTACATAGGCTAGGGCGAAGTATGTTGCGTTGAGCAGATTTTGAGCTAGGACGTCATTAGAGTGTTCAAGAACAAACGCGCCTGCGTGCAACTCGCGCGAGGCGCTGCGCATCAGATAGTCAGTTAGGTGTGCATTATTGTGAGGCTTGGGCCTCACCACCAAGGCCAACAGTCAACCAACATTTTGAGTCCATTGTGGGCGTGGCGGGCGTGGACGTCGGAATGGACCGTCGAGCTTATAGGCCTAGGTGAATCTTCACTGCAAGAACGCAACAAGAGAAAAGACTGTCGCTTGGTGATTGCAGTATATCAATTGCAGCTCACTAAAAAGCTCATGCAAGTCGCTCGTTGACTGGGACATATGGTTGATATATCTCACGTGTTTGTGCGATATATGTTAGTGTCCATCTTAATTTGCGGAGAAATGAAGTCATGAACGGTGTGCTAGTGTCATGCATGGTCCAGGCCGCGGGCTTCGAATTACCATTGTAATACCCGGCTAGCTCAAAGACCGTCTCCACTCCAATGGGATTATCCATGCTACGAGCTTTCTAGCTTATCATGTTTTCACTGTATGCAATTAGACCTTCCTTGCAATCGAAGAAGTGTTGAATATAGGATAGGTAGAAGTAAGCAATCAAGAAAAGACAAACGTATGTTGTATTCCATATAAGGTAGAAGATTATGGAATTACTGGTTTAACGGCGTGCGGAAAGAGACACTACGTAGTACGTACAATTGGGTAGGCACTTCATCTGGCGCTTCATGCAAGCAAACCATATTGAAGTGACATACGGTATTAAATAGAGGGGGTGAAGTCCGGGGTCCTCTGGCCCATGCATAGCCCGGGGGCCAACCCCCGACCGTACTCTTTGTCATTGAAATCTATCTTTAAGGTATTGGTTACCGGCCGGTACATTCTAGGTACCTATAAGAAGTTCCTACCCTAACCTAGAATTGTAACCCTTAAAAGTTATCTGCTCCGGACCCGTGCCCACCCAAACCTCCAATGTTATTAAGCAAACCCCCCGCATCCCGAGCTGGTATACCGGCAAGTTTAATACCATATTAATGTACAAGCAGGACTCGGGTGCAGGAACCTCGGTGGTCGGGACTCGGGTGCCCGAGTGACTGGCAGCACCAGACAGACGGGTCGAACCCGGGGCCGTTATCAACGTCGACCAGCTTTTCGGCATCTAGCGGTCGCCAAGTGTCAACACTTCGACTAGCTGTTTACCGGGGTCTCGGAGTCTCGGTCCCTGACTCCCTGCCACCTGGGGCCCGGCCCCCGGGGCCGGGCCCAGGGCATCATGGAATCTTTTATGAGGTCATTGTGTTCTCACCATTAATGGTCGGAATATTCTTTCCGTGTGCTCGGCACACGACGTCGCTCATCAGAGTCCCCCAGGCCGTTGTCGGTGGAAGAGTCGGGAGCCGGGACTGCTGGATACCTAGTCCGACACTCACACTGCAAAGAGCTGAAGAGCCAAAGAGAGGACTGTGGCCTGTGGAGTCTGGACTCTGGACCATGCGAAAACTGTAAAGAAAAATATCCCCGATCACATCGGCGGGCTCTCCGAGGGCTTTCGCCGGTCCCTGAGCTGGTTCGTGGGGCGATTCATCCTCCCAAGGTAATCATGGATTCAGAATCCAGATACCACTCCCACTACATATGCGCTGTTGAGCTGCTCAATCATGCATCTTTCACCTATATCGCCGTCGGGACTCGAGACAGAGTCTGAGTCACGCCCTCCAGAAGGATCGAAAACCCTGCAGATGAAGGTCGATTCGTTTCGTTTCCAATGAATTGATAGTATCATAGTAGACCCAGCTAATATCTGATTTTAACTTGTCACATTTACCTAGGCTCCAGAGTCCTACTACCGATCCAAGCCAAGGTAGGTACCTACTTGGAGTGCCTACCTAGTTGAATAATTTTGTCGAGAAGACGTTGTCAGACCAAAATCTGACATTCTCAAACCAGGGTTTACAGGCGGGCAGGGTTTAGCTCAACTATGCCCGGATTATATGTAACCAGTGCGCAGCCTCTTCGACATTCGATTCTGTTTGCTTCGACGACCAAACGTAAGACTGCGGTACACAATACGGTGTACCCTGTTGAGAGAATGACCCCATGAGTGCGTCATCATTGTTCAACGAAGCGCACACAGGAATCAGGAGGCGACACTGCAGAGTGAGACTGAGAGGGCTCTGCAGTGTGAATGCTTTGTACAGTACCTACGTCAGTGAGTTGGGCGCTGATGACGACCCCTCAGGAGTCAGGGCTGCGACTCGGAAAAGGAAAGCTGCGAACCAACTAGTGGCACAATTCTTTCTGCGCCGGGAGCCGTGACCTTTGACAACTTGAACAGCCAGGATTGGCAACATTGGCAAGGAGCTCGTTCCTGTATCTCTGTATTTCGGAACGCCACAGAGGCGGCCACATCCTATCTATCGCTGAGCTGCCGAACTCAGCTACCTCTGCAAGGACATTTGAAACATCAAGCTTGCTGAGTGATAGCTTTAGCGGAGACACAATGGCGTCTGCGCGTGTGCTCCTCATTCTGCTCGTTGTCGGCGCGCCGCTGCTTGCGGCGCCGGTGTGGGGCCAGGCAGAAGTCAAAGCGACCCTTGAGACCCCCCCCGCCTTTGGAGATGCCGCAGGTAAGGAATGTGACCCATCTATCGGATGTTTCCTGCCCGCTTTTGTAAAGTGGGTTGTGCTGCCTCCAGCTTGAGACCCGTCATCTGTGGCCAATGCACTCACCAAGTACAGAATTGTACACGAGGTGATATTTCACTAAGTGCATCCGATACCTGAACACTCCACAACGCCACATTTCACACATCTGTCAATTTACAATGCCGCAATTTAGATCAACAAGATTGTCACAAGGCGAGCCACAGAACAAGCTGCTTCCCCTCTGAGCCTGAAGGCCAGATTAGCCCACTGTCAGCAGTTTTTACACGCCCCAATCTGAGCAGGTATGGTGCTGCTAACATTGAAAGGGGGTCAAACGGAACCCAAAGCAGGCACTTTCTCAACGCTTGGGCTACTTTTGACTCCATTGGTAGCGACCCATTAGCATAACAAAGTGCCATCTAGCGAGTCCAAAGCTCGGAATAAGGGGTGGTGCTATACGGTTGTCACAACAACATAGCTTCAGTGTCAATGTCATAGTGTAGAACAGTCATTGGCCAATGCCAATTGACACCAAAGCAGCCTGAGCCACGTACTGCACATTTGATGTGTCCCGTGTGTGCTCTGGCGTATGAAGTCCTTCTCAACCCCTAGACAGCAAGCTAACTGCAATGCACCTCAGTAGCCCAACTCTCAGTTGCCTCAAACACTCGGAGCATGCTTTTTGGAACTTCCATCCTGGCATTGTCTTAGCTGCTAGCTCATGCAAGCAATTCCTGATGATTGACAAGTGGGCAACAGGTAAATGTGGGTGTTGTTACGTGAGCACATAGTTCAAACCTCCCCCAATGGCCAATGTCAAGGCACTTGTTGTCGTTCCTTTGTTCAGCAGACCAGCATTGCCATTGTTCTGTTTCTCTTGAGATCTGTCCAAGACCCTTCTTGAGGAGACCCAGCTTCAACTCAAATATGCCTTCTGCTCTTCCATCAGGTTACGAGCTTCCCAGATGTAAGAGCTGAACTTAGCTTGCTTTCTGTGCTTCCCAGGGCGGAACGCAGACTCCGACGACCCCGCAATCTGGATCCACCCCACAGACAAGTCCAAGAGCCTGATCATCACGTCCAAGAAGGAGGCCGGCGTTGCGGTTTTCGACCTCCAGGGGGTCCTAGTCCAGGACATTCCCGCGCCCCCGCCCCCCCGCACTGGGGACCGTCCAGGTAAGACCTTTTACGTGGTGAAAACCAGATGTCTTTTCAATTCAGCACTAGGAAGCTCTAGAGTAGTAAGAGCCCCTGAATTGATACTGAAACATTAACCCACAAAATCATCTGCTCCAGACTTCTATCATCCTGAATTCCCGAATTAACCCCATCCGCCCCTGGCTACTTTGCTTACTAGTGCTGAATCGGCAATGTGCTAAAAGCAGAGTGACTCGAAGCTATCCAACTTTTGGTTCCACTCAGCATTTATGGAGTAGAGATGTATCTGTTGCGGAGGCTGGTTCCTGCTTCATACTATGAGATCTAGGATTTGGTGACTCTCGGAGGCCCCCAGTGCAGTGGAGGCTGATCAAACGCACACAATTCATCAGTTGAAGACCCCCTCAACTGATGACCAATTGCCGATGGATGAAAGATGTGAAGTAGAATGAGACTACTGCCTGGCAAAATTGGTGAAAGGGCGTCCCATTCAGGAACAGGCATTGCAGATTCTATTCTCGTTAAGAGGTTGGGCTCCCCCTAGCCAATCTCCCTGCCCTTTCTTTTCCAACCGTCTCGATTGCGCAAGTTCACAAAAGCTCCAGCAGAGGTCCATTGATGGATCTCGCCAAACACGGCAGCTGAATTCTATATCTGCAAGTAGATACATTCATTGTTGTGTGATGGCTGTGTGACCAGTGCTAGCAATATGAAGCTCAATGAAAAGGACTACGAACTTTATAGTGAAGACACATGCCTGAAGCCTGACCAGCCTTGTTTAAACAGGACTCACGTCGACCACAAACTGGCTTAGCTCCAGTCTTTCGTTTTTCATCTGGTGTACACTCGCTCTGGCGGAAAGGACTATCAGGTATGTACTTCAAAGCCACGTATTCACGGAAGGTACATTCTTTTTGGGCGACGAGCTTCCAACGTTTTCATCAACCTACAAATCAAAACGTGTGCGTAACTTGGCAGGGCGCATCAACAACGTGGACATCGTGTATGGAGTCCAGCTGGGCTCTGAGACGCTGGACATCATCGTTGGCTCCGACCGTGGCCTCGACAAGCTCAAGATCTGGAAGATCAATTTGTCAGGCACCCCCCTGACCGAGATTACTGACGCCTCCGCTGGTTTCATTTTCAACGCGAACCAGGTGCGTTCTTGCAACTGTCCGCACGCAAGTATATACTAAAAAGCCAACCCTTCTCTTTCAGTGCTAGCGGGATCTCACGGTGAAACCGACCCTTCAAAAGCTAGCAGAATTCTGACTAGGGACTGTTCGATCTGATCAGTACGTCCTCGCTCAAGTGTGCAAGAAAAAACAGACCGATATCTAGAGAGCTTGGTAGAAAAGTCGTTCTTATGGTGGTTTCCAGCAGCCGCTTAGCACCGACTGATATTCCTTTAAGGCAAAGTCTTTCTGCTTTTCATGCTGGCTGATGTCAGTAGGACGGCTATCTTCGCCTCAGAACGGTGCAGCACAAAGGAAACGAGTTGTGTGCCCGAGCTTAAGCGCCCACGATAACGTCCTGAGATGTCAAAGTTTGTGTCCGCTTCTTCACAACGACTGCCCACGTCTTTAAAGGAGGCCTTCTATGGAACCCATTTTGCACTTCTTTGGACATTCCTCATTTTGTGGATTCATTCTCTCTTCGCATCGCCAATCCGAACCTTCATAAGCAAGCAACGAGATATAGTCGTAACGATCTTAATAAGCTATCCCATCTGCTTCCAGAACGAAGTGAACGTCCAGGCCACGTGCTACGGCGTCGCCGCGTATAAGAAGGCCGACGGCACCGTCGTCGTTTACTGCACGCGCCGCTCGCGCGTGCGCCTCGGACAGCTGGAGCTGGTTCCGTTCCCGGCGACCGGAACGTTTGGCTACCGGAAGGTCGCCGACCTGGACGTGCCGAGCGTGTTCGCACTCCCCGACGGGACGACCTGGTGAGTTGAAAAAGCGTCCGGTGAAAATGCGCACTCTGCGCGACAGCTGCAGAGCACCTTTAGACAGAAAGAGGGATCACTTTTCCCATCCAAAAGCTTCAACGTTTTGAAGGAACGAGCTCGTTACGAGGCGCAGCTACGGGAGTCGTTAAAGTAGAAGACCCAGTGAAAAGGACACCTCAGTCATACAGGCTTTGTTGCTAAGATCAGAATAAAGAAGCCTTGAAGCAACTCGTAAGGAGTGGACACTCTGGTTTGACATCTTCAAGGTTTGCAGGATTGCTTCCCAATCTTCTTAGATAGGACCCAGTAACATGGATTCAACTTTAATTGCCAAGAATCAGAGAAGCCCAGAAGGCGAAAGAAGAAACTTCCATCCGAATCCTCGCAGGACTCCGTGCGAGGACCCGGGCGAGGAGGCCCAGTTCGAAGGCATGGTCGTCGATCCTTACGCCGGCTACTTGTATGCTGGACAGGTGAGGGGCACGGCAGAAAACAGTCACGCCGGATCCCTCTGCAGTCCTTGTTGATAGTCGCAGGCGAACCTGTTTCAAAAGTCCCAAGTTTCAGTGTCTCTCTGTTGGGATCGTCTGCAGACCACAGCCCTCGACGGGTTTGACTACCAGCTGTATTGCGTGCTAATCATCGAAAGTAGGCAGCAGACCGCTTGCAGTTTTAGACCTTCTCTTACACTTTCGCCGTGGACTGTCACTTGCCGCCAGTAATCACCCGACCTGCTTCGTGGCTGGACGAATTGGTTGCTTGATCACACAGCGTTGTCCGTGATTGCTCCCATTGACACAGCAATTTTCGGCCTTAACCATGGATGGTTACGGGATGCTTATGGGCTGGTTAGAAAATGGTTATCGTCCATAATCACAATCCGGCGGTAGCCAACCTTGGAACAAAGTTAGCCCGCTTATCTGTCCAAAACCCGAAAGTCAAGTCTTGTGATTAGCATGGGGAGCAGCCAAACTTCTTGTGTAATCATTGTAGGAGGACGTGGGTATTTGGCGGATCGGTCTCGACTTTGCGGCAGCGCCGACCCCGGTTCTGTTCGCCAAGACGAGGGAATTCGGCGTGCCGTATACGTATGACACTGAGGAGGAGGAGTGCGTATACGACTTCACCAAAGACCCCGGGTTTGGTGGGCAGAACCTCGAGGCTGACGTGGAGGGGCTTACAATCTACTTCTCGCAAGGTGACAAGGCTTTGGAGGTTTCCAGTTGCTTCTCTTGAATCCTCAGTTCTTGAGCGAAGAGCCCCTTTTTCTGCGGGGACTGACTTTGCGGGTGCTGGAATCACCTGAGCTTTAAGTTTGTGCTTGTGCTTCTCACCAAGTCCCAGAGCGTGACTCTCCTGGTGCTCACCAAGAAATCGTTCACCTGTTTGCAAGAAGCTGGTGTTCACGTTTGCTTGAAGCTATCCCATGACAAGGTCTCATTCGCTCAGACCAGCGTCGATTTTATGGTGACGAAGTGACGCTGTGAGCGAGGCGGTATGATGGGGCTGATTGACAGAATGCATGGAAGGAGAACGTGGACTCCAGTTTTCATTTCTGGACCCCCACACCGGTTGGTACTCCGCACACGCAACTCAAATTGACTTGGTTAACATTCCGGGTCACCGAATGATTCCTGTCACGACGGCCAGGTATAAAGGCCTGCATTTGAGCGCTCGGTGGAAGTCGGGCTGGTCGGTTAACAACAGGCTTTGATTTACGTTACCATGGGTTATGGTAGGTCGCGCGCGTGGCTAGCCCCGCTTCAACCTGTTTGCGCACGCAAGCTGACTAGTACCAATCGGTGTGGGGGTCTCGGACTGCAAAACCCGCGTTCTCCTTCCATCCGTTCTGACAGACAACGCGCGGGGATCCGGAGTCACCAGACCAGAGACGGAAGTTGACGAGAACCTGGGTTTTGAGCGACGCAGACCCTTACACGGTCAACTTGCCGCGATGTTGACAAAGCTAGAGATAAAAAGGAGCCTCTCGCGCAGGCAACTCGAATGGTGCAGACCCCTTGACTACCAGAGAAAGTGCCAAAGTCTTAAAAGATGAAAGAAATGTCTCGCATCCAGCTCGAACATGTGCCATCTTCCGAACAAATGGAACTATCTCGTGCAGCCAACTCGGACGGTGGGTACCTCCTCGCATCCAGCCAGGGGGACGACACATTTGTGACGCAGAATTTTTCTTCAGTTCCTGCAAGAAATGAGGTGGGTTTCCAACTAATCGTTTTTATTTTGCAGCCAACTCGGACGGAGGGTACCTCCTCGCGTCCAGCCAGGGTGACGACACGTTCGCGGTCTACTCACGGCTGAACAATAACCGCTTCATCGGCAGCTTCAAGGTCGTCAACAACCCGGACAACGGCGTCGACAGCATCCAGGACTGTGACGGGGGACAGGTGGGCGCTTGGTTTTCAACCGTTGTCGCTGGATTTTGCTGTTCAGAATTCCGTCTCATCTTCGCCAGATCCCAGTGACGCATCAGCGACCCATCTCGACGTCACCCAAGTGAGTGCAATGGGTACGTAAAGAGCGTTGCGAAAATGGCCAGGTGGGCGCATATTTGGCGGTCACTTCAATAGATACGATCTTATTTGGCCTTCGCTGAGTTTGCTGCCTGTTAGGGCTTATTCAGGAACGAGCCCTGTAGTTGAATTGGTTCGTCCTAGAAAGGAGAGGTTTCAGTGGGCTCTACTCAACATCATCTATGCGGTTTATAGCTTGAACGTACTATAGTAATGGTGACATAACTTTTCAGACAAAAGGCCTGCCAGAACGGCCTACTTAGACAGGAGAATCTGGCATGAAACTGAGACCCTTCGTATCCGCTGCTCCGCACAGGTCATCAACGTACCCCTTCCGGGTTTCCCGCTGGGCTTGCTCGTGGCTCAAGACGGCGACAACAAACCGGACGTCCTCGACGGCGACGGCGAGACGCGCGACAACACCAACTTCAAATACATCCAGTGGTCCGGAATCGCCTCCGCGCTCGGCCTCGTGGTTGACACCACGTCATACGACCCCCGCCTCGGCTTCGTGTCCGGTAAGCTATACCGACATACGCCCTCCGCTTGGGTATTGTCGCATCTGAGAATGACTGGCGTAAGACGTTCGCTTCACTTTCACGTTCAGTAGTCCATGGGTTTCCTTACTTATCACATAGTCCATGCGTATTAGAGCGTATAAGCTCCGCCCCCACTTCGCTGCCAGTAGGCAGTTGCCTCATACGACCTCCGCCTCCGCCTCATGCGTTTAAGAGACTGTGCCTGCTTACATAGAGCGACAGTTATTGCCCAACCACCGCACGATTTCGAGCTGCTCCGTTTCGACCACCCCTGCCTCACCCCTAGAAACCCCTAAAAGCCCTGAACTCCGAAAACCCCGACATTGAAAAAACCTAAAACAGCGATCGCCATTTGTTTGCAGCCGCTTCGGCCCCGGCCCCGACCACCCCGACCAATCCCACCCCCCCTACTATCACCGGGGCCTTCCTGAAAATCCTAAGACCCTAAAACCCCAAAACCTAAGACTCGAAAACTTGACTTTTTTGGCTTGCAGCCGCTCCGGCCCGGCCCCGGCCACTCCTGGTCCGACCACCCCGTCCATTCCTGCCCATGCACCCCTGAAACCGTTATGCACCCGGAATTTTGTAAACCCGAAAGAGGGAAACCCTGATCGCAAATGCATACGCCTCTCGTGTGCAGCCGCTAGTCCGGCCCCGGCTTCGACTACTCCGGCCCCGACCACCGCTGCCCCGACCACTCCTGGCCCGACAACCCCCGCCCCGACCACCGGGGCTACTCCCGCCCAGGCCGCCACTTACGGGCCCGAGTTCGTGTGCCCGGTTAACACTAACCCGTGCTTCAACGACGTGG